AGGCTGAGTCCAGGGTCAGGGCGGGCCCGCGCCGCCGGAGGCGGGGACCCATGTGAGCCGCGCTCCCGCAGGGCTTGCCTAGCGGAGCGCAGGCGGGGCTGGGGTCTGGGAGGCGCTGACCCCCAGACCCTTCCTTTCTTCTGGCTCTGAGATCACCTAAGCTGTAGCTGGGCCGCCATGACAGGCCCCACCGTGCCCGGAGGCCAGGGGCCATGGGGCTAGGTTTGCCCCAGTCCTTCCCCCACGTGCCTCTTCTTCCTTCCACTCCGGCAGCCTTAGACGGGGCGGGGGGGAACAAGGGGTGGATGAGGGAGCAGGGAGTACAATCCATGCAGTATAGGAAACTACTGAGATGTTTCAGAATTCTTAGTAAGGCGTGAATAATCCTGAAGGTGTCTTGGGAATAAGAAAAAAATATTAATTTTCTTTTAATAAGAGCAGCCCTCATGTAATGAATCCACACTCCGCCTTGTCCTATTCCACCCTCGCAACAGCCTCGCAAATTAAATGTTTATCCCATTTTACAGATAAGGAAAATGGGCCTCAATAGCTTGCCCAACATAGCCCTAGCAATCAGTGCAGTTAAGCTTCCAATTCAGAAGATCCGGTCTTAAAAACCCAGACTATTTGAAATAGTACAGTACTGCCTCCTTCTGTGATTTCGCTTTCCTCCATTTCAGTTAGCTGTGGTCAACCTCCTTCTGGAATAGATGACCTTCCTTTTAAGATACAGTCAGAAGGTCAGTAGCTTCCTCTCAATGCACACCTCATTCCCCTCACTTCATCTCATCAGGTAGGCATTTTATCATCTCACATCATTAGAAGAAGGGTGAGTACAATTCAGTAAGATATTTTGAGAGAGACCCCATTTATATGACCTTTATTATAGTATATTGTTATAATTGTTCTATTTAATTATTAATTATGATTGTTAATCTCTTACTATGCCTAATTTATAGATTAAAATTTATCATAGATATGTATATAGAGCATAAAACATGGTATATATAGTATATAATATATGTATATAAGATATATTATATACATAACCGGTATAGGTGGTTCAGTCTGGTATTATCCATGGTAGGTATCCACTGGGGGGTCTTGAAACATATTTCTGCAGATAAGGGTGGATTACCGTAATTACATTATGCTCACCCTCTGAGGTGCAACAATCCTACTCTGAAATTCTGGGTGCTGCTCTGTTTCTGCTCTTCCTGTAAGTTCCCCCATCCCAGTGCACTGTAGAGGATTTCCAAACGTTTTACACACTCTGTTCTTTGACCAAATTAGGTAACACATGTCCCTGGCATCTGTTTCACCAGGTTTTCTTAACCTCCACAACACCTGCCCAGGGCAAGGCAAGCACTACCTCCTGAAGAGGTGGGCAAAACCCTTTCTTCATATGTACACACACACATACACCACAGCACCAACCACTACCAACCAGGGGTCACTAACTCCCAGCTTGTGTGGAAACGGGGAGTCCTCCACAGAAGGAAAATCTTTGGGTCAAAGAGCTTATGGAATCTAAGTTCTTCATTTTTCTGATGTCAAAACTAATACCCAATAAAGAGCGGTATCGGTTTGGGTGACACAGTGGGTGTGGTCTCTGGGAGACTTTCTACAATGCAATAGCCATGGAAGGACAAAATGGTAGTTCTCCTGACGGATAAAATAATAGTACTCCTCATGGTGAAAGTTAACATGTATTGATGCTGTGTGCCAGGCAAAGCCCTCACATCCAGGTCCCTGAATATGGTCTGGATTCTACATGCGAGTTTTAAGAGGATTTCATGTAAAAGCATACAGATATATTGAGGCCATTCCAGCAAAATAAAAAAGAGGTTATGTATTTGCAGATAACTTGAACTAAAAACATAAAGAAACAACTCCTCCTCTTCCTTCTTCCTCCTCCTCTTCTTTTTCTTCTTCTTCTTCCTCCTCCTTCTTCTTTCTTTCTTCTTCATCCCTATATTCTTCCAAAATTCTTGGAGGCACCCATTTCTCCTCTAAAATGATATACTCTGGGGTGGGGGGGTGGCTGGGTGTCTCAGTCGGTTAAGCATCTGCCTTCGGCTCAGGTCATGATCCCAGGGTCCTGGGTTCGAGGCCCACATCGGGCTCCCTGCTCAGCAGGGGAGTCTGCTTCTTCCTCTTCCTCTGCCCTTGCTCCTATCTCTCTCGCTCTCTCTCTTACATAAATAAATAAATAAAATCTTTTTTTAAAAAAAAGGTAAAAAAATAAAAATAAAATGGAATACTCTGAGCTTTTAACAGGAGGGTGAATCAGTGGTTAAAGTTTGTTCCTGCCCTGCTCCCAGCAACACATTCTCTCTCTCTCTCTCTCTCAGTCTCTCTCACACACATACACACACACACACACACACACACACAGAGCAGGCTGTCTTTTTTGTCAGAGAAAAGGAGAGGTGAAAACTGTTTATATCTTCGGAATCACTGGAAGGACTATTTCCCAATAGTGTGTCCTGCTCCACTTCCCAGTATAAATGTTTAATCTAAAGAAAGAGTATTCATTTGTTGAAATGAGATCTCAATGGTGTCTCCCCTCTCCAGGCATTTTCTTTTAGTGAAAATCCATGGAGTATCCATTTGCAGGCTTTATGTTCCTTCTCTAAACCCCATGGTAAAAATTATAATACCCACAGTCAGCAGGGGCAAAAGCAAAAAGAACAAGCCTCTGAGGAATGGGACCTAAATAGTTGGATGAATTTACATCTAGATATCTTGAGGCTTTATACCAAGAATTATTAGAATTAGTTCATTCATATTTTTGAAGCAAGCCAACAAAAGAGCTAGTTTTTCTATCTAAAAGGTTTACAAAAAATGATTCTAAATAAAGAACTATGCAATATAAAAGCAGGATACTAGCAGACCTAGTACAGTCTAAGAGAATACAGAGGCATTTTTTCATCAAAAAGGAAGTTATAAAGGGAGATTTTCTTTCCCATAACTGACAAAGATTTCTGAAATAATGAGGCAGATATGTTGGTACCAAGATTTCTGAAACACCAAGGCAGGCAGGTATCTTGGTACCAAAGACCAGATCCTCCCCTGAGTGGCTGTTGTCCTTTTTGACTTGAACCTGTAAAATTGCAAAGGCAGTGGTTTGTCTCTTGGCCCCTCCCCCACTTTGAGCATTGTCTGCCCCTTTGCACCTCCTTTTCCTGTCTCTCCCTAGGGATCCTAGCCTTTCTACCCTTCAAGGAAAAGGTGTCCTCCCTGCTTTACTCTCTCCCTTCCTTACTCATCAAATCAAATTTCTTAACCCTTTATGTTGGGAAAGATAACATACATACAGAAAAGAAGTTCATAGATAAAATTGTATGACGACTATCACAAGGCAAATACTGATGTTAGGTCATGAATTGCAGTCAGTCCTCTAAAAGCCTCTCCCTCCAATCCAGATTTTTATGGTAATCAACTCATAGTTTAACCATAAGTATCCACCCCTATGCACAATAAAATAGGTTGTCTGGTTTTGACCTTTATATAAATGGAATCATACAGTATGACCCTTTTGTGCTAGACTTGGTTCCTTTAAGGTATTATTTACAATATTCTTCTTCACATAGCTGTAGCTCTTTCATTCTTCTATTGTATGTAAATACCACAGTTTATCCATTCTACTACTGATAAGCTTCTTGACAATTTCCAGCTTCTGACTATTATTAATGCTGCTGCAGTGAACATTTTGTACACATCTCTTGATACACAAGTGTATACATTTCTGGATGGTATATATGAGCAGCATTGTGAAGTCATGGTATGTGTATGTTCAGCTTTAGTAGATTCTGCCAATTTCTCAAAATAATTGTACCAATTTCACAACCAGCAGCATAAGCTTCCCCAGTTCTTCACATCCTTAAGGATTGGAATATTATTCAAATTTTCACAATAGACATTCTGGTTGAGTATGTAGCCGTATCTCAGGGTGGAACTTGACCTTTCTTGATGAATAATGAGGTTGAGGGCTTTTTCAGGTGATTATTTGCTATTTGGACAAACTCTTTTGGTAAGTACCAATTCAAGTCTCTGCCCATTTTTATGTTGTCTTTTTCTTATTCTTTTATAGACGTTCTTTGTATATTCTAGTTACCAGCTCTTTGTTAGTTATGTTTTGTAGGTATATTCCTTCATTCTGTGTCTGACATCTTGTAACTCTTAATGGTATCTTTTGATAAATAGAAGTTCTTAAGTATTAAATAGCCAAATTTATTTTTTATGATTATTTGTTTATATCCTGTTAGAAATTCTCTATATATGTATATTCCAGAAATTTATTGTTTTGCCTTCCACATTTAAATCTGTGAGCCAACAAGACAGATATTTTTATCCTAGGGTACGAAAATGTGAAGGTGTGAGGGTGTAGAGATTATTTTTTTTTTTCCGTATAAATAGATAATTTTTACAGCTTCATTCATTGAAAGGATTTTCCTTTCCTCACAACTTTTCAGTGCCTCTTTTGTCATAATTTAATTATGCACCTGTCCATGGACTTTTCTGGGCCCTCTCTTCTACTCCATTGGTTTATTTATCAATATTTATAACAAAATCGCATTGCC